TAAGTTCAGGTAAAGGCATATTATAGTTTCATATTCATATGACGTAATGTTTACGTGTAAAAGAGGCCGTGAAACGAGAAGGATACACTACAAAATGTTAAATTTTATGTACATAAGATAATTTTAAAACACATTCTGATTAATCATACGTTTCGTATGTTATAAATTTTATTCTGCTCTTGTATTTACAAGGTGTCCTCTACTTTAATGGCAATATTTTAAGAGCATAATCTGCAAGTGGAAATAAGAAAAAAATGTTAGACAAAGTTTTTTTTGTAAATGATTTATTGCGTAATTTTAAAACGATTATCTTTTATATCGATTTGATATGAAATTTACATTACATTATAAATTTTTTGAGGATTCTGCTGCTTCTTAGTAACAAATTATTAATTCGTTGCCAATAACACGTCTACAAATTAACAAGCAACATGTAATAAATTTGAAATGATAGATCTGTGCTGTAACTTTTTGAAGCTTGTATATCAGCTCGAATGTGCCTTAATATGCAGCAGTTTTTTTTGTCAACAAGCTGCTTTAATCATTTTTCTAACTCTTCTCGATTTCCATATATCTTTGTCTCGCAACACTTAGAAATATGCACTATTTACGTAAGCAAGTTGCTTAAATAGCTGTTGCATTGAAAAAATTTGGTTAAGTACGTAATAATTAATGCCATACGTAATATAGTAGAATATGAAATAGTCTATTTATCATTTAGAATCATCAAAATATCGATTCGATATTTTTTCCAACCTGTTTCTATTCAAGCGAATACATATGTAAAAATTATTCAAATGGTTCCAGCTGCATACTCGTGTTCTTATTTACTTTTTATCTGGACATATTGAAAAGTAAAACGAAAAGTCTTGATCGATAATCCACTAATTTCATTCTGTTGGTTCAGCCCAAATATCATTATAAATTAAACGGTAACATTTTTATTCTGCGAAAGAGTCGATCGAAGCGTTTTTCAGTTCATTATTTTACAATATATGAATATATTTGTAAGTTATTTTTATCAATAAAAAATTTCAGACACACAAAAAAATGCTATATGAAAAGCTAATGACCTTTAATTTATGAAATTTCGATGTTGTTTTATACAGAGTGACTTCTAAATACATGTCCATACTTTAGTTTAGTTTTAGTTTGAATCTACACACTGAAAGAAGTGAAATACGTTATACAAACATATATATGTTGGTTTTCGAGATGCAAATCATTAGAAAAAGTGTTTCAAATATCCGCCTCGTACTTCAGTACGTGGGATTCGAAGGACCAACACAATCTTTTGTTAATGTGGGGAGGAATTGTGGAAGACAATCTTTTGCGATCATATTTCCTTCTAGCCCGATTAAATGTTTATCTTAACTTAAACACATTCTTATTAATCATACGTTTCGTATGTTATAAATTTTATTCTGCTCTTGTATTTACAAGGTGTCCTCTACTTTAATGGCAATATATTAAGAGCATAATCTGCAAGTGGAAATAAGAAAATCATGTTAGACAAAGTTTTTTTTGTAAATATTGCTTTATTTTAAAACGATTATCTTCTACATACATATATCGATTTGGTATGATTATAAATTTTTTTAGGATTCTGCTGCTTCTTAGTAACAGAATTATTAAAGCATTTGATTTGTGCAGTAATTATCTTGGAGCTTGTATATCAGCTCAAATGTGCCTTAATATGCAGCAGTTTTTTTTGTCAACAAGCTGCTTTAATCATTTTTTTAACTCTTCTCGATTTCCATATTTCTTTGTCTCGCAACACTTAGAAATATGCACTATTTACGTAAACAAGTTGCTTAAATAGCTGTTGCATTGAAAAAATTTGGTTAAGTACGTAATAATTAATGCCATACGTAATGTAGTAAAATATGAAATAGTCTATTTATCATTTAGAATCATCAAAATATCGATTCGATATTTTTTCCAACCTGTTTCTATTCAAGCGAATACATATGTAAAAATTATTCAAATGGTTCCAGCTGCATACTCGTGTTCTTATTTACTTTTTATCTGGACATATTGAAAAGTAAAACGAAAAGTCTTGATCGATAATCCACTAATTTCATTCTGTTGGTTCAGCCCAAATATCATTATAAATTAAACGGTAACATTTTTATTCTGCGAAAGAGTCGATCGAAGCGTTTTTCAGTTCATTATTTTACAATATATGAATATATTTGTAAGTTATTTTTATCAATAAAAAATTTCAGACACACAAAAAAATGCTATATGAAAAGCTAATGACCTTTAATTTATGAAATTTCGATGTTGTTTTATACAGAGTGACTTCTAAATACATGTCCATACTTTAGTTTAGTTTTAGTTTGAATCTACACACTGAAAGAAGTGAAATACGTTATACAAACATATATATGTTGGTTTTCGAGATGCAAATCATTAGAAAAAGTGTTTCAAATATCCGCCTCGTACTTCAGTACGTGGGATTCGAAGGACCAACACAATCTTTTGTTAATGTGGGGAGGAATTGTGGAAGACAATCTTTTGCGATCATATTTCCTTCTAGCCCGATTAAATGTTTACCTTAATTTATTACGAAACGATCAAATGATCATCACAAACTCATTTTCTTCGTAGAGTAAAATCATTCTTAAACGAGTAATTCTTTCTTTCTTTATCAATGTGCAACAAGATAATAGTATAAAAACAAAACTATATTGCTACATTTACTAACAAAATTGGTTCCCGATTTATATGCTTACCAGTGTATATTAGATACAGAAATTAATTCGGTGTCTTTACATTTATCCATTCATGACTCTAGTTACTATCTTGTTATGTTATAGTATGAATCGTCACAGTAATGAAACATACGAGAATTTAAAAAAAAGAGAAACACATAATGTCGTAATAGTAATGCAAAATTTGAAAAAAGATAATCATTTACTTGTGAAAGTCATAAAACAAAACGTCAGTTTTATGAACATATTTTATGGGAATCATTATTTATGGAGAAGTATCAAAGTGCTTCTGCCACAAACATTGCAACAGAGGCAATAAAAGTCACGAAAGTGAATATATCACTTTTTTTTTGTAAACAAACGACAATTATAATTTGTATAAAATAACTGACCTTGTTAACCATTTATCGTGTGTTTCCCTTGCAGTAAAATTTTATTTGTTAGTTTCTTTTATTCCTTTTTAAATATGAATTTTTTAATACCATTTGATATGTAATTATCCGGGTTTTCGGACTTCTATAGAAATACTAAGTTAATTACTAGTAATCAAAATTCGATGTGAATATTTCTGACATCTTCATCGAAGTTTAACAAACAAATGTTCATGAGATGGGCAAGCAAACTTGTTTGAACTTTTTTTTATGGAATTGTAGAAGTCACCACACTACAACTTTTAACACTAATAACTTATTTTGTAACAATTAAAATTTTTACAGTTATTAATGCATTAGCAAGTCAAATTGTTTGAACTTTTTTTTATGGAATTATAGAAGTCACTATACAAGGTGTTCGACTACCTCTAGGAAAAATTTTAATGAATGATTCTTGGGGCCAAAATAAGACGAAAATCAAGAATACCAATTTGTTGATGGAGGCTTTGTTAAAAAGTTATTAACGTTTAAACTTCCGCCCATACTGAATTTTTTTCTCGAAAATGCGCAGGATTTCGGGGGTATGTCTATGCACCAAAAATGATTGTAATTTACCCCCGCAACCGAAAATAATTTTTTCAAAACGATTTGAAATTTTTTTTTCGCCGAAAAATTTGTCCACCTTCTTGAATTTTTTTCTTGAAAGTGCGTAGAATTTCGGTGGTATGTGTATTTACCAAAAATGGTTGTATTTGACCCCAGAACCTAGCAATAATTTTTTTAGAGCGATTCGAAATTTTTTTTTCAACGTAAAATTTAGGCACCTGTCGATTTTTCTTAGAAATTCGTTTTTCATTTTTCATAAATTTGTTTCACGCTGTACGTAAATATTGTCTAATACTTTTTTGTAGGTATCCATAAACTCTACTTCCATACTAAATTTCAATGAGATACGTTCACTATTATAGAAATTATGGCCGTTTGAAAATTGGACCATTTTTATGGGGTTTTTCTCACTTTACGGGGTTAAGGAACGACTTTTCGAATATTTTTGGAACATCTGCTAATTCTCCACTAAAATACGCGTTGTTTGCCGTTTGAAACATTAAAATCGTCCAATGCGTTCAGGAGCTATGATATTTTAAAGATTCGCATGCAGGGAAGCATTTCTGGCCTCACATTAGATTTTAGGTAAGGAATTTTTTTCTCGAAAATGCGTAGGAATTCGGGGTATATGTAATCACCAAAAATGATTGTAATTGATCTACGCCACCAAAAATAATTTTTTCAGAATGATTTGAAATTTTGTAATTTAATTTTTTTTTCCTCGAAAATTTTAGGGACCTTTCTGAATTTTTTTCTCGAAAATGGTTAGGATTTCGGGGGTAGATCTATTCACCAAAAATGCTTGTAAGTGACTCCCGTAACTAAATATAATTTTTTTAGAACGATTTGAAATTTTTTAATAACTTTTTAATGAAGCCTCAGTCAAGAAATTTATATTCTTGATTTTCGTCTTATTTTGGCCTCTAGAATCTCCCATTAAAATTTTTCCCAGGGGTGGCCGAACACCCTGTATAACAACCTTTATTACTAATAACTTATTTTGTAACAATCGATATTTTTACACTTATTAATACATTGTTAACTATAATTGTTTGAACTCTTTTTTTATAGAATTATAGAAGTCACCATTTAACAACCGTTATCTCTAATAACTTATTTTGTAATAATCGAGATTTGTACAGTTATTAATGCATTATTGAAATATTTTGATTGTCTAAATTGCATGTTTATCATATGTCTATCGCGCAAGAGATGGACGGGGCGAACTTTAGATTTATGCATCAGTAGTAGGGGCAATCGTATTAACCGGCAAAAGGTATTTAGGAGAGTACGATGCTGGGTCTTATACCAGTTGTGCTTGAAAGGTGCCGCGGAACCAAGTCTGGCAACATCGTTCATACGTTAAATTCGCTCTCTCCGACAAGGGATACCAACAGGACTAGTAACGGGTAAGCACGAATTATCGACTTCCTGATTTCCCCCCTCCAAGTATAGAAATTTTTATTTTTAGTTTTTAACACGTTAGCGATTAACTAATCACACTTTGTTTTCTTGGTTCTCTTTCGCATTCTTAATAATGAATTTTAATTTTCTAACGATTTGAGCGTTCGTGCTTTTCTCAATATACTTTTAATCGACGGTTCGTTAGTTCACTAAAATTGTTATTTTTAATATCTTATGGTGTATGTTATCGTTTAATGCCTAATGGCGAAGATTTCGTACTTTGATGTTTACCTCCGTTACCTCGGTTCAAGAACCGAATCTTATTTTAATGGGTACTGAATTTTCATTGTAACCTTTCCAAATTGTACATTTTAATCGACCTTCCTACTTGTCCACTTGAAATATTTGTTTTATTAATTATGCTTCTAATAATTTTCTCAGCCGTTGATGGAGAAGAATTGAATCGTATTTTGTTCTCATCTTTTCCCTCGTTTAAAATCTCGTTTAAATCTCGAATTAATATTGCGTTCTGTAAGAAGTGCTTTTTTATTTTAAAAAGTCAATCATTATTTAATCAGTAGTTGACATAAAATATAGAGAATGTTTTTGAGATCTCGTTATAAATTTTATTTTGAATTTATTTATTGCGACCAGTCCCTTCGCAGTATATAATAATACGTGCAGAATTTGTTTTGTTGTTAGAAAATATTAACAGCGTATTTTATCTTGCTTAGATTAGCATGTCACTAAGTAATGCTACATACTACTTTAAAGTATTTAAATACAGCTGATAATTCGTTGTTGTATACTTAAAGTTAGGAATGTTAGGCATAGTTAGGAATGAGTATAAATATATTTAACATAGCATTAACCTAAAAGAAATGTAATTTACACTGTGTAAATCGAAACATTGTTTTTAAAACGAAGCTTAACGACAGAATTACTTTTAATATCTTTAAAAATTGATTTGGAACTCCAAAGAACTTCTGCTTATGTGGGGTTCTGCTTATTGATGTTTATCTTATTGAAACTTAAAATTTTGAGAGCTTTTATAAACATATATTTCTAATTTACTTAATTTGAATTATGGATAACTTGATAAACATATAACAACAATGAACCCATTGCTTGTTAAACATATAATCTTGTAAAGAATTATTACGTGCAATTTTTGTCTAAACATACATTTTCTTATTTTTAATCAGATAAATGTCATTGTTTTATATTTTTACTCAGTTTCCAAAGCTTAATGGGAGTTCGCTGAATTCTCAAATTTGCCTCAGCCTCCAGTCTGTTGCGATATTATTTTTTATCATAGAAAAAATTTCTATTACGAAAAAGAATGGTTTAAATTTCCTGATTACGTTTTGATTATTAAAGAAAATTTTTTCTTAATGTGTATTTAACACAATTATGTCCAAATAGCTGAATAGATTTCAATAAAACTATATTTGTGTTATGATTTTGAGAAAATATAGGTAATTCTTTTTTTATATGTTCGTTATTTGTATAAATTCTAACACATGTTTAAAATAAATCTTAGAGAGAATTAAATTTAATAAAAAGATTTTCGTTCCTTTTTTATTTGAACGCCTTTCATTAATAAATATTGTTTCGTTCAAATAACTATTTTCTTCAATTAAAATGGTGTTAAGATGATATGTTTGAAAATATTATGACATATTCGTTCTTGTTTATTTAAATTGTTGATTTTCAGCTTGTTAAGGACTAGTGCAGCTTCTACTTAATAAATTATTTTAAACTAGCAATTGGATGAGAATGAGCATTTGCGTGCTTATATTAAAAAGAATAGAACAACCAATAAAAATTATCTTAGTTTAAAAACGTATTAACAATCATCTTCCAATGATTTTGAAGAAATAATCTTTCAACTATATCTCATTTTTATTTCAACTTCTTGACATTATTCTAAAGTACTCATGACGAAGAAACAGCTACAAAAATACTGTGAAACATTTCGAATAAAAGAAGTCTTTAAAGATTCTTCGCTATAACCGGATATTGGTGGTCCAGAGTACCGTTGCCATACTTGTACATCGTACGTTAGTTCTATTTCGAACGGTGAAATAGCTGAAACTCGAATAAAGTTAAGATTTGGAAGTTGGGAGAAATTTAAATCGCGCGTTGTGACACCGAAATTAACTTTTACCATCGAACGTCATAGATTCGTACTAACCAATCTAAAAAGAATTATGCTCGAGACAATCTGAACGTTTCTCGCGTATGCCGCGATATTTCGTTTGTATAATTTATTCGGGTATTTTGACTGCACGAAACGCGAGAATGAGATGCTGAGGATCGTCGATCGGTCTTTTTCCTCTTTGCATTTCGTTCTCGAAATAATACGAACGGGTTACATAAACTGGAGAAACTTTCATCGTCCGCTCGTCGACCTTCATCTGTATTTACTTAGTGAAATTCGGCGGACCGGTTCCACGAAAATGTGACCCGATCAACGGACCCGCGGAAGATTGTATTAGCGTAAAGAAGCCACGTGAATGGAACGGGTCCATCGGAGAGAAGAAGGAAAGGAAAAAGTTTTGCGCTGAGAGGCATTATGAAATCTGGCACACGTCTTTCTATAGTGAACACGGAAGAACTTTCTTCAGCAGCATTCACGCAATGTAGCTGCACTTCTATTAACTCAGTGCCGCGCGTTGATATCTCCGAGCGACCGTTTACGCGTCAAAACAAAGTGAAACCAAAAAACTGGTTCGCGCGCAATGGCGGCGTCGATGTACTCTCCCCGAGCGAACGAAATACTCGCATTCGAATTACGTTGACAAAAGAAATTCGTACGGTTCTCAACATGTAAATATAATGGAAAGTAATTCTTTATTCAAGAATGAATTTTCTATTCTAACTTATAACCTATTCTCATATTTCAAACAAATTCATAGTTTCTCATTCGTGAAAATCCCCCCAAAAAACTAATCACGAGCTATTTAATAGCCTCTTAATAGGAATCAAAGGAATTTTACAGAGAGAGGAACAGATGATAAACAATTTTTATTTTACACGAAGATACCACTTTTGGTACATGCGTTTTTTGATTACGTCCTTTCCATACATTTTACATAAATTTGATTTACAGCTTGTTGTTCCTTTTTTTATTTCATTTATAACAAAGTTATAAAATAAATCTGATATTCAAACTTATTTCTTACTATTCATGGTTAAATATGTGCTTTTAAGATTTGATCTGAAGTTGCATTTACTTTTTGGCCAGCCCAACATAACGAGTCGAACTTATTTTCGAAACTACTTTGCAAACCGGAATCTTATCATCCGTCCAGTATTTTCCTATTCGTAAGTTTCAGGTCATTGCCGTGAATTTTACTTTCTATAATATATATAGAAATGTATGTAAACAGTTAAAGAGATGAATTTACATGGTAAAATACGAGGTTCGTTCAATGAGTAACGAGGTAAATGACTGAGGCTGAAATATTTATTTAATATTCATGCACTTGTCACTGTAATTAGCTTTTTCATGCCTGTAATAAAAAATTCTTCATCTTGCTATCGAAGCCACTATTGCATATTCATTTCCGTTTCTTCGTTAATTCGCTTCCTGAAATACGACTAACTTTAGTTCAAATCTGAAAAACACATTATTATGTGTAACGAAACAATTTGAAGATTCGATTTCTTTTATAAATTCGGTGTAATGTTGTTTTGTAAAAGGAAACAACGATAATATAAGTATAAATTTAAAAGACGGTTAAATGTTTTTAAAAATGAAAGTATTGTACAATTTGCTTCTCTCTCTGCAAAATAAGAGGCTATTAAAAACACGTAACTAATCCTTTACAAGTAAAGAGATGGATTTTTATCAGCGAATGAATTATGAAATTGTACAAAATATAGAAATAGGCTGTAAGTTGGAACGTACAACCCATTATTGAGCAAAGAAATTACTTTCCTCGATAGTTAAAAGTTTCCACGTGCAAAGTCTTGCTTACGTAAGTCGAAAGAAATTGCAACGTTTTCGTCGCATATCGCGCGAAGATCATTAAAGCGAACGAATTAAACGCTTCAACGTTAATTTAAATTCTCGGACGCGAAACAAAAACTTGAAAGCTGCTGCAATTTGCATACAATTAAGGTAAGCGAATTCAGCTAAGATTAATTTGTAACGTTTCTGGGCGCGCATCTTTCTGCAAGAGGAGAGTAGGCAGAACAGTAATTTAATCTGCGGAACAGGTGGTTCCAACGTATTCAATTATGATGTTACGTTTAAAACGGAACTACATTGAACTGGAAATTATTTACGTTATTACGGGCGCCCATATTTGGAATGCATAAACTTGTCTCTTTCGTAACAGCGTTTCATTAACTCTGATTATCCGTTAGACTATAATTAACACGTTGACTGCCCGTTTTCTGTATTTAATATGTTTATACCCTTGACGTACTTTCACTAGATAACTAGAAGTAGTCAATGGTTCAGTGGAATTATATTCAGTGAAATTATAATAATCAAACAATCATACTTGAATTGCATACAAATGTCTAATGGATGTTCGACTGATATTCATTTTTCATTTTATTGAGCGTTTTAGGTCACATGCACCTTTTAGGTTATTAGTGACCACAGTTGGGTTACTTAGTGGGGCTAATCATATTTAGAGCAATTGGTATACATTGATGTCTTTTAAGAAGTTTAAAACTTTTCTGCAGGAATCTGTTTCTCGTAAGATCGTTAGTGAGTTTTGTAACTTGTGTTGGATCCTCTTCATATTGTATTTAGGGCAGATTGTCAAGATGTGTTCAATACTATTTCGTACGTTACAGGTGTCGCAGGAATTTGGTTCGGTTTTTGTGATAAGGTATGAGTGTGTCCAGTTCGAGTGTCCTATTCTTAGTCGGGTTATTTTCACTTGGTCTTTTCTATTTAGTAGTAGCGCCGGATTGAAGTCATGTATATTATTTCGAACTTTATGTAGCTTAGTTGGTCTGCTATTTCTCCATTCTTCATTCCACACTTCCGTTTGCGCCTTGGTGCAATGCTTTTGGATGTCTTGATGAGTTGCCTGTTCACATTTCGTTATAGCTGTACTGGAGCTAGCCAGTTTTGCTGCTGTATCAGCCTTTTCATTACCTTCAATACCAATATGGGAGGGAATCCAGGAATATAACACTTCTCTTTTGTCTCGCTTAAGTGTTTCATTTAATTCAATAATGTTTTGGATTACAGTGTTGTTTGTTTCCAAATTTTGTAGGGCGAGTAGGACGCTTTTAGAATCAGTTAGAATGATGGATTTATTGTGTGTTGTTTCTTCTATGTACTTCAAGGCTTGTAGAACAGCTAACGCTTCACTAGTGAATATTGTGAATGTTTCCGGGAGCCTGAATAGGATCTCATGTTCGGGAGTGCATACCGCACATCCAGTCCCCTGTCCTGATTTTGAAGCATCAGTGAAAATTTGCGTATGGTACGGGTATTCATTCGATAATTCAGTATATAGACTTTTGAGAACGTTTGGGTTAATTTGTTTGCCTGCTTTCAGAATTTTATCGAGTATGCAAGGAGGATCTATCGTCCATGGTGGAATTTGATACTGTATTCTTGATATGATTTTTGGTGTATCCATATTTAGTTCTTGCCAGTATGTTTTGACTCTACTATTTAACGGTTCCGGAAGTTTGGGTTTTTCCTTAAATTCATTGAAATGGGCGATGTTAGTTAATTTCTCGTAGATAGGATTTGAAGGTTACTGTTCAAGAATTAGGCATAAAACAAAAAGTGAAGGAATGTGACGAAATAATGTACATTGTTTTTCAAAATTCTATCTTTCATCTAACGGTATATAAAATAGAATAGCTTTAGAGCAATCGTTAGTAATATTACAATTTTTATGTGACTAGAGGAGTTAAACAGTTTGGCAAGTGAAATAATTAATAAAGTTAAATTCAGTGTTCAAATTTTTATGTTTTTTGTTACAGAAGAAATTGATTATTATATATTTTTATTGCAGATTTTTCATAAAAATGAAAATATTATTTTTGATTAATTCATCGGCAATATAAATGATGTCTTCTTCATCAGCTGTATGCGAGGTCCCGTCATTCGATTAGTTCTCAAGTTTGTATAGTAATCATGTTTATTAATTTATTTCTCTGTTAATTTATTTTACTTTAATTTTGATAAGATGCCACTAAAAAATTTACCACTTCTTACTGCGTTTGAATTACATATGTATATTATTTGCTAATTTCACTTATGTAGTATCAGAACCCATTCCTTGTTATGTGTATCATATTACATAAAATGCTTCAGTTTTAAATACATATTTCATTAGTCGAGTGCCATAAATGCAGGGCTAGGGGAAAATAGTAAATAAAATGTAAATGTTTTTATTCTCTCATGTGTGTAGTTACATATGGAAATAAATATTCATTAAAATATAGGAAAATAATATTTCACGGAATAGTGCTTAGAATAATGGTATTGCAACTAATAGTATTCCAAATAAGAAGTCTTTTTTCTTTTTATAGTGTCATGTACTTTTATCGATAGCATAAGACCTTTATTACTGATTTACTTTGTTTGCTTTAAACAGAGCACACTCTTCGAACGTACTGTCTTTTAATAAATTTTGTTTAGGTGTTAATATTCGCCGTGCAAAACAAAATAAACATTCCACAGGCACAGAGAACGTACATGATATAGTTTTATAAGACATGTATGTAAACATATATACCTCCGTTCATGCTAATGTTATAAATATTTGCAAGAAATATTTACTAGGAATAGGAGTTATTTTCTATATTTAAATCCGAGTGTAAGTGGTAAATAGTATTTTCTCATGACTTAAACATTTAACGAAATGGTATTTACTTATGCAAATATTTCAATGTTTACTACTTTATATAGAATTATTTCAAATTTCCCCCAGTCCTGCATAAATGCGAGCGTTGGGATACTCTCGTGTACGAGTGTACATAATGGCCTACCCCGATCGTCACAATTTGCTATACTTCGTCGCCCATAACATTGGTTGTGCAAGTTGCTGTTTTCGTCGTCGGTGAGCCGAGCATGCGCGGAATCCCCGGCTCGTCGGACAACACAGTCTTTAGTAAGCACGGGTTGATCTATGTTGAAATACGCGCAAATTCCTTTCGTGGAGGAACGATTTTAGAAAACGAGGAAAAAGGAGAGGGAACGAAAAACGGAAAGGTGGCTGTGAGTCGTGCGCGAGAAAGGGGCGGAGGTCGAGTATGTACAAGTGACCGTAAAAAAAACGCACGCGGTGATGTACGGGGGTAGGTAACCCCGAATTCGCGAATTCCGAAGATTACGTGTCTCGCGAAAATTCACACGTGTTGACCTAGACTGCGATCGATAACAGGTGATTCTCGACGATTTCGAAGGCTCGCAGGAGACAGAAACAGGAGCTGTCCACGTACTGCTTTGCGCCGTCGAGTCGGACAGAGTGAGTCCTTCGAAAGAAATACTTTCCTTCCCTCTTTTATCCGACATTCACTTTAGATGGGATGATTTTTCACGAAAGACGAACATTTTATAGACCCTTTTGACTACTTTTGTTTGTCAATTATATTTTCGTTTGTGCATCAACGTTTCACGATGTCAAACGTATTTTAAGTGCGCTGGTTAACAAATTGTAGAAAATAGTTTGTATTCTTTACGACTAAGCCATCTTCTTATTTATTTACGCATACTGAGATAGAAAATAATAGAAACAGAAATTATTTGGCACTGGTTTGATGTGGGACATGATTTATTTAATTCCAGTGTAGTAGATTAAAGTGTGAGTTTTGTTACGTGGAGTTTCCATGAGTTATATGGATTTTCATGACTTCCTTGACCATCACAGATTATAAAATCGTACAAAATAATGAAGCTGAAAATGAAAATATTTGCATGCGTTTAAGTCTGCGTATTGTCGTTTACGGTTAGTTTCCAATAACAGCCTGCTAAAATTGTAAATCAGGTAAAAGTTCGTCAAAATTACTATTTTTAGTTTGTGTTTTAGAAAAATTAGAGCAAATAGTTTAATTTGAACATTTCTCTTCGTAATTAGTGTTATAATGGGATTGGAATTTGACTTTTATCTTCGTAATTGGTGTTATAGTTGTATAATCGCTTCAGTGAAGAATTTGCTGTTGATCAGTATAATTTATAATAATTTGATTTCCAATCCACTGTATTTGCGGTGTTTTTACTTTTACGATTTTCTAATTTCTTTAATTCGGTTTTGTTTTATATTACTCGTGACATGCTCGTTCCAATTGGTCGGTCATTGGAATAATTGAGACGAAAAGGAAACAGTTTATTAGATTCCTATTTCACTTTCAGTCTCACAGTATCGTGAGAGTAAATTGCTAGTTTTCAAACTCAGAAGTGACAAGTGCACGAACTTGAGCACTCCAGAAAGAAACCAAAGGCAACCTGTTACTTAGACGTTTGTTTACGTAGGCACTCTACTTACGTAGGCATTTTAGTTTATGTAGGCACTCTAAAATTGTACTCGATTCTTCCCTGCAAACGAATTTGATTGTTCGAGTACAGAATATTACAGAAACAGATTTTTTACTCAAGCTGCAAGTCGTCTTGTTCCCGATCGCTCAAAGTTAAATGTATTTGGAGAGTTATGTTTACAAAAACTATCGGATATGTAATTTTCAACTAATATGTAAGAGGTTGTTTTCTGAGAAATTAATATCGATATCGACATCAATTTATTTTTTTGTAAATTCGTGTTGGGTGCGACAAATTTTTTTAGAGGCGATTAATACGGGAGTAGAAAAGGCCCACTGATTTTAATAAAAAGTGGTATACCTTCATTATTATTTGGATCGTTATTACCAAATTGAGTAACATTTACTTTAACGGTTTTTTCGTATTATGTATAGTTCAAGAATTATGACGAAAAATTAAAATTGATTTTACAAATACGTTTAGAGGCAAGTATTCTAAAGTAGGTACTTGGATTATTAAATTAGTAAGTATGTATAATATATATTATCGAACATTTATACAGTATGTATAAACTAAATCGAAGAAATATGTATACTGATATAAAGCTATTAAAAAATTAAATACGATTCTTAAACTACTCTTTCCAATGTCTAGTATCATTCTTTTAAAAATAGAATTACAGCATTTTAATTAAGAGAGACAAATGAGTTATAATACTTTAAACTTTTGAGTTGATGCTAGTAGGAGCTATAGTCATACATCTACTGAATATTAACCTAAAATTTTAAGCCAATTGGTCAAGTAGATTTTGAGATATCATGGACATTGTTCTGGTAAACCTACTTTCGAGAAAAACGCTTTTGAAGTTTTGTATCTTTATAACAATGACGTTGATCCTTACGTCTTTCTAACAACCATAACTTCATTAATTTTAAAAGTTCAGGTATAAGGTTTTGCAAATATATTTTCCAATCTATATTCTTTAAGAAAATGCATTAAAAATTCGATTTTTTCGATGGTTCATACTAGAATACCCCCTTAAGGAAAATCAAATTTTAAACAAAGATTACGTTGATGTAATAACACGGCCAACTCAATCTCTCTATGGAAATTCTTGCGAAGAAAGGAGTAAATAGAACACATTATCCAATGTAAATAAATTATATGAAATTATTTAAAAGATAAGTAAAAGCAAAGATGGAGTACAATTCCAATTAATTGTCTCGAATTAAGATCTTTCTTTACTTCTGAAATGCTTCTTCTAAACCGCGTCCTCTACAAAATGAATTAACTATAAAAAAAAATATAGTTCGTCTGATTAATTGTAATATAATCTCCTTCCAACTTACCCAGGCAGGTGGATCTACAAAAAGGAGATTATACTATACATGATCAGACATAACCCCTCATTTCTGCACATGATCGAACACGAGTCTTCTGCTCCAATTTTGAATGACCAGTTTGAGTCTGCGTTTTGATTGTTCCTGTCAAATGTCTGTTAAACATTGCGTACATTGAAGAACAAAAACATGCATTCTGTATATGTATAATGTACGAGGATCAAATGACTACTGCTGAAATATTTTTTCTTTTATTAAGCATTTGAAACCATACAAACAGGTTTATGTGCTTTACAATGGTAACAAAAAGACAGTACAATACAACGACATTCTTAAATTTGTAATTTACATTTTTTCATGAAGGAGGAAATAATTTTACAAGCCTTTATCTTGGGTTTGCAAATAAACAGATCAATGCTCATTAGCAATGTTAAACTTAAAGCTATCTATCTCTTTGATACTGAAATATTCTATTTTAAATAAGCGTTATAATTGTCTTACTTTGCAATATAATCTTTTGTTACATTTATGCATTCATCCCATCGCTGTACTAGCTTTTCTATGCAGGTAGAAAAAATTCTTTATCTTGCTGTCGAAGCCATTGTTGATAAAGAAATGTAATAGGTCAAGGTCTAGACAATATAGCGGATATGGCGGAATTTCTCAGCCTAGTTTTACGATGGTCAAGCATTAAGGTGCTGTACGAAGGCCAGTGTTATTTTGCAGAAAAGTCACTCCTTTTCTCTGTAAATTTCTTTATTTTCCCCCTATCGTAGGTTTCGTAGGAAAAATTGTGCTTTCGTAATTTCAC